GCCCCCCCACCCTCACGTCCCCTCCCTGAGGTGTGATTCCTCTCCCTCACTCGCAATTAAGGCGTCTCTACGTGGTCATCCGAAGTGGCAAGCTAATGACAATCAGAACAGCTGTAAAGTGAATATTGCTTCTTTTATTACTTCTTCAAAGAAACACCACATTCCAGCATTTATAATGAAGTCGTGTGCAAGATTATCAAAGACAGCAGTTGCCATTGGATTTACCAGGATAAAGTGGGTAGAGGGGGAGGGGGGGCATTTAAGGTACCTTCAAAAGGGTCATACAGTGATGTCATTCACGGGTCGATGAGGCTAGTAGTCATTAAAATACTTTTATATTAGCACAGAATGAATTGCAGAGCAAACTATATGAACAATCCTTGAACTCGAGAAAAAAAAAAGTTATCTTCATATTTCACTTGAATTATTGCCGTGTTGAGACGTACATATAACCTGGAGCCGATCAAAAGAAAGGCTCTTCCTTCATTGTGCCCGTCCACTGTTGGAATCCGCGTTGTCTTCGCAAGATGGATTAGGAACCTGGTCGAGAATCTTGAGGTCGTTGAGGAAGCCGGTTGGGGTGAGAATGTGAGAGGAGCCTGTCAAACACCAAATGAAAAAAAAAAAAAAAAGTCATTTACAATGCTAAGCTAATGCTAGTTAGAATGAATAAAGCACTGCACAACCTCCAAAGTCAACACAAACTAGTTTGGGAGCAAGTTGCCTTCATAAAAATTTATTAACAGTATAGTAGCACCTATTTGCTGATTATTTATCAATATTTTTTAAATATTTTTGGGCAAGGGAGCAACTCCCATTAGTTGGTGGAAAACACCTTTTGGAGTTTTTACCTGCTTTTTAAGATTTTTTTTTTTTTTGAATAAAAATGAAATCGCCCCCCTTCAGTGGATGTAAGTAATCGAGTAGATTATGGTTGAAATTGACTAGAAGACTGACATGATACTAAAGAGAGATTCTTTTAGAATTTGCATTCAGATTCATTGTAAATGTGTTCTTTAAATATACAGTTAATATAAATCAATTGTGGCGGAGTCTCAAGAGACATAAGACGACTGCCATGGCCACCCGTGCCCATCACATACTGGTGCTATGCTAGCATCACTGAGCATGAATCAATACTGAAACCAGTCCCGATACTGTACAGTAATGTAAAAATGCACCGATACTACATGCCAATACCACTTCACCAGTTTGACGTGGCGAAAAAGAAAAAAAAATCTTCAGCAGAGCATCATATATTCTGGTCTGGGATGTATGTCGTTACTTCAGATAGCTGAATTGTCACTAAATCTTCTGGGATGCGTGACGATGGGTTTTGTTTGACTTTTCAGTCTTTTTTTTTTTTTCCCTCCAACGAACGGGTGATTTGACTTTGGATGGTCAGCTGCAAATAAAACAAACGCTTACCAATCAGCACTTCCCATTTCCCGGCATAGGCTCGGGTGACTTCATAGGCCGAGCGCATCTCTGAGTGGGTCAGCCCGCCGATGACAAAAATAATGAGTCTGGGTCCGGTGTGATACTCTGTCGGAGGTCTGTTGTTGTGCCACTGGCCCAAACGAGCGCTGATGATATGGAAGGGTACAAATCATGTTGGAAGTCTTCCATAAATCATGAACAATAACACACACGTCAACGGCCGGAGTCGTTTTAATGACGACTCCGATTTATTTACGGCACTTTGCGGAACACGAAGGACACAAGCTTTGTGCATGACGCAGATTATGAGCTGAGCCCATCTGATTTGCAAAAACACCACCGAGAAGGGAATTCCCCGCAAGATTAGAGCATCTGACGCAAAACTGGCTTATTTTCACCTTTTAAAACTTCTACTCACTCGACTTTTTTTTCCCCCCAAAAGAGCTCCATTAGGACTTAGTTACTGGGATAAAAGCTTTTATCTGACAAAAATAATCTGTCTGTGACCCCTCCTTTAGTTTCTTTAAACACAGACGACAGCTTTTTTATGGGTTGGTTTTGTTTTCTATGAATGTTCTAAAAATGGACAAATGGAAAATGATAAAAGCAGCACAGTGGTAAGTGGTTAGCTTGTCTCGCTCGCAATTTGAATCTCGACGACGGGACCTACCTGACTGCCGTGTGAGTGGTACTGATGGGGGCGGGGTCCGATATGAAGGGCCAGTGACGCTTGTCCAGCTTGTCCTCGATGGCGTTCTGGACAGAAATGGACTCCATTGAGTCGTTGCGCTTTGTCGATTATTGACAAAAATCGCAACATTTGTGCGAAAACCTCTCACACCTCCATGATGTCCTTGAGAATGGGCGTCCATCTGGAGAGCTGGTATGTGCTGTCCGCACGCTGTTTGCGATCAGGAAGCGTTGTCCCGGAATTGACTCCCTAAAACACATTCGGAAACAAATTGCACTTTTTAGTTTAGGCGGCGTGAACGCTGACATACGAAGAAATTTGGTTGATCGGTCATTTCGCTCTCAAATCAGGCCCTCCTATATTTTCTCTCCTCCACATTTCAAATGTTGATTATGAGTGTGAATGCATGTTTGTCAATCTGTGCCCTGTGAAGGACTGGCGACCAATCCGAAGTGTACCCTGTTTCTAGCCCAAAGTCAGCTGAGAGGCTCCAGCTCTGCTACAGACCCAAATAAGGGACGGACAGGCATGAAAGAAAAATAGATAAGATTGGATTCGCCCTTTAAGTTTCCATTCTCAAGATAAATAAATACCCCAGCAATGATGTTACAGCCCAGGTTTTGGAAGTTGGTGATGATGTTTCTGTCGGCAATCACGTTGGCGTGCTGAATGAGTTTGTCAAGGTTCTCCTCGCCAATGCCTGCAAGCAATCACAAAATCAGCCAAAATGTGATTAAAAAAAAAAAAAATTCACGCAAGGAATTGGTAAAGGGGAGGAAAACTGCACCTTTTTTCTTGTGGAATATGAAGAGCAGGATGATGCGGAGCTTGTTGTATGCTGAAACTTCATTATCAAGTAGCACAGGCACGATGCTCTTCATGGCGTCTTTCAGAGGCTCCCCCTCGGCATTTGCGCCCATCACCAAGTCCTGTGACGAGAGAAAGGGAAAGTCACATGACCTTTTCGACAATATATGTGCTCAAAAGTCTTCGGTGGCTACAAGATATCACATGGGATCATCGCATGGCTTTTCCATGCCGCAAAAACGAGCAGCCGCACAACCGCGACGGCCTGGCTCACATGCTGGCTCTCTCGTAGGACATTAACAAAACAAATAAATAACCTCGATTTTTCACCTTTCTCTGCGTGACTTGTGTGTACTCGTGGCTGACAACGAGGCACTCTAAACACTCATTTACAGAAAATTTGATTCAATTCAAAGTCAAGTCATGTGATTCAGTGTCTCATTTTCAAGAAGGTCCAGGGGGATAATTATGGACTCGTCCTTGGCCCCTCAGAGTTTTGTGGAAATTGGTAAAGTCTTTCACACATACCATTCGCAGTCCACCCAGCAGTGAAAACCTCAACTCCCTGGCAGCGGTAATGGATATACTTGCTCGGCTAAACAATGCAGAACACTTTTAGGACTGGTGCCTGAAGCGTTTGCCGTTCGGATCTGCCCGTCCTTTTTAAAAGCCAAAACAATCTTGTGGGATTGAAGAGGTGTTGGCATCCAAACAAGCTCATAACCCATCGATGCATCAATCAGAAAACTTAGCTCGCAAAAAGGACACATTCGGTTATTTTCTGTGCAGACATAAAACCAGGTCTCGGGTCCGAGCAACGCTGATAGCCCATCCATGATAAATCCAGGACACATATATGTGCTTGGAAGGATTTTTACATCACCAAGTCATTAAATGTTATTAAGTGTCCTAACACTTAGTCATGACATTAGAGCTCGCGGGTGTTGACGTCTGGCCTCAAGCTCCTTTTACAATATTATGACAGCTATTTTCCATTAAACACCACAAACCGTGCCAGTGGCATTTGAACATACACCCCGGCGGAGCTATAAATAAATGGAGGTCACCCGGTGTGCCGAGCGGGACGGCAAATTCCCCCCGCCACCCCCCACCCCCTGCCACCGAACGTTCCGCGTAACGGACTTACGCTAACGCATCCTCGCTGAACCCTTCTGCTCATGTAAATATCAAGGCTTTGTGATTTCACAACACATAAATGGGCAGACAAGTGCCGGGAAGTTTAATATTTCGGGTGGGAATGAATATGAGGCTTCTTTCATGTGTTGGGGGGGATAAAGAGTCCATTATCCTTCTACTATTTATAATGTCAAGTACAGATGTGCAAATGTACTCTACGACCGGATGTGGCAAAAGACGACCGGCGCAATGTGACCATATGGTTAAGATAATAAAAATAAAAAGTTCTGGCTGCAACTTGCGATTATTTTAATGATCAATTAATCTGTCAATTATTGTTTCGATTAATTGACAGATCTGATTTCTTTTTATTCTTTTTTTTTTTAAATTTCCATCTATTTTTAAAAAATAGGATATTATTTCAAATTGACAGCGCAGAATGTGGGCCAACATAAATAGAATATGATTAAGTTGTTGGGCTGGTCTAATAACGTACAAAAATAGGCAAAAATATTGATTACCGTTTTCCACATTGAAATCTGAGAATATTTACTGTTGAGAGTCAAATTCCAAGCATTTGAACATTTTTAAATGAAACAATGGACTCTAAAAGATGGATCAATGATCAAACTAGCTGTCGATTTAAGAATCAATTTATTGTAGCACCTCTCACGCTGTTTGCAACCAGACTGCGCCAAAACGCGCCAATACTGACCTGTTCCACTTCGCAGAGCTTATGAAGAGATGCCTTGAACTTCTTCATACAAGCTTCAGCCAAGTGCAAGTGAGTGGAGTACTGTAAAAAAAAAAAAAAAAAAAAAACAGGAGCGTCAATAATGCAGCAGTAACAAACTAATGAGGACATTAAAAAAAAAAAAATAGATACCGGTAAATAAAAAACAATTGTGAGGTTAGGAGAACAATCAAATGAAGGTCAAAATCCACAAAGGGGAAGGGCTAATATATGTGACGTTATGTTATCATGATACATGAAATAATTTTGTAGCATGAATTACTTATATTGCGGGGCAATATTTTAGTTAGTTTAATAATTTAACAGTTGTGCAGCTTCTAGTGGCAATAAAATATATTTACTTAAAGATTGGATTTTATTTACTTTTTTTTTTCAAACAAAGTCACTCACCATACTCAACTCCTTCTGATACTGTGGCATCTTCTTTAACATCTGAGACAGATCTTTGATGTTGGCCTAGCGTGTAAACAAAGGCACAATAAAAACAAACAAAACATACCGGTATTTGTTTGAAATGACACCAAAGTGGCAAAGATAGTCACACTCACGTTGTCGGTGCACATCCTCTTGCTTTCACAAAAGGTGGTCAGCAGTTCCGTCACTTTGCTACAGCGGCAAAATAAGAAAATTTTAGGAAGTCATTTTACGTGTGTGTGTATCTCAAATCCTGCCATCCTCACGTCGAGACATCGGCGATGTGCAGATGTCGGAGTTGAACCCAGAGCTCGTCGTCTTCATCCAGCAACACTTCTCTGTCTTTGGAATTCCCAATGCCAGTTGTCTGATAACTAAACAAGAACAAGTTACAGATAAGACAATATGCAGGAATAACGAAACAAAACAAACATTCCCCCAGTGTACATGTACTCACGTGTATATGTCCTTTTGGATATCCAGCAAATCATAGGCCATAGCCTGGAAGGTCAGCTCGTGCAGGAGAGGCGAGATGGGATCGAACCCACGGTCAACGATAATGAGTTGCGAGCGTCCCTTGTTTACCCCCTGCAATCAATACAGAAATTTTATATATTAACCGAACATGAGTGTGAATATTTATTTTTATTCCACCACGGAATCCACATTTGTTGCACTTCCATGTGTGCGGGGGTTAAATTGTCACAATGATGCAGGATTTTGGAATACAGAAACTCCTCGGTTTAGGACGTTACAATCTTTGGAGGTTACAAACAGTAATAAATGCAAGGCGGTGTAAGGACACCTTATAGTTGTGTTATCTGTCTACCTGTGTTGCTATACCATTTGTGTTCGAATGTACGTTGCTTTCGGGGTTACAACGCCACAAATCCGGCGCTATTCGTGAGCTTGTCGTTGGAGATTTTTGCATTGTTAGCATTACACACAATTTTTCGCCATCATAAGAGGACCACCTGTATTCTTTTCCTCTCACGCAACATAGAGAACATTCTCAAGGCAGCACCAAACAAATAAACACATAAATAATACATGCCTGATAAGACTGATCCCGGAGTAAGGAAAGGTGAGCTAAGAAAAAGAAGAAAGAAGAAAAAAGTGCAAGGCAGCAGAGTGAAGGGGGAGGAAAAAAACACCCACAACCTGTAGAGGTGAAAAGCTGCACAATCCCAATGGATGTTTATATACTCTTGTATGGAAAAAGATGATAGCGTACAATTAAAAGGAGAATAATAATTCACTTCTATAGAACATGTCAAAGAGGAGGAATAAGTAGTACTGCACTAGAACCTCTCCCATGCTTGGGTTGTCCGCTTTGTGGGCATTAAGGTGCTGGTAGACCTCTTCGGCCAATTTGGCGTTCCTGTCCGAGCCGCTACGGGGACATGAGTAGAAATGAATTAGCAGAAAAAAAATGTTCGGCTCATGTGGGAAGTTACAAGGCAAGGGGCATACTTGCGGAATCGGATGGCGGGGTACTCTTTGAGCGTGTCGCATAAAGTGGCAATTTGCTCGGCGAGACTCTCTATCATTTTGTTTCTTGTGTCCTGGTTGGACTTGGGGCTGTAGAAAGAGTGGAAGGAGGTTGGGTGGTCCAGGGAGAACACCTAAGGCGAAGACAGGGGGGGTAGGAAAAAAAGGACACTTCAATAGGAACAGTTGCGCAGTCACACAGAGACTGGATCAAAGAGTGCTGTGATGAAAGGTGACACTAAGATGAATAACAACTCACTAATTTAAAAAAGATTTTCAAGAGGCAAAGTAAAAATAACAATGTAATTATTATTTATTTCTAATAAAGTTGTTGTAGTAGGCTTTTTGTTGAGGGCGAATAAAAATCCTACCTGAGACTCATACGGTAGGAAAGCGACGTTAATCTCTTTCAACGTCTTGGCGGCCTTGGAGACTCTTGATCTTGCAATTTCATTGAAAAGATTATCAGGGCAAGCTGGGGGCGTAGAAATAAATCCAAACTATCAAATGACTTGTGAGCATTTTCATTGTTTTACAGCAGACCAACGCAATGTCTTACTGTCTGTGAAGAAGATGTGGGCCGCTTTGTAAGTAAAGGCGCTGTCCTTGAAGTCGTTGATGAGAGCCCGAACTGACTGCAAATTAAAGTGATTGTTACCGTTTCATTAAATCAGCAGTACAACAACTTACATTACAGTACCTGTATAGCTACAAACACTATTAAAAGGAATGAGCGCTGATTTATAATTGGGAAAATTTAAAACAAATTACAGAAATTGACCGCATTCTTCACCGTTGATTAAGCAATTACAATGCCTGATCCGAGTATTTTAAATTTAGTGCGTAACCGGACCTTTTCCACCGGTGAGATCAAATATATGGCCTCCAGACAAGAGATGGGCTCCCTGCTTTTATTGAGGTCCTCCACAACTGCAAGCACAAGACACCTCAACAGTCAGACATAAAAAGATCAACACTAAAAAGCCATCAGTATGAAATCAATTTGAGCAAGCATTAATTAATCCCGAGGGCAGGAATTATGACAAGGTATAAATGCTTCTTGCATCGCACTCAGCAGGACACACAAGCAGCATTGCAAATGGTACACTTACTAGTGACCCCTTCAGCTAGGATGTCCGACATCTTGCAACAAGACGACAGAATCCGCATGCTCATGTGGTCCACAATAAGAACCTGAAGCCATTACAAAACAAAATGAACAATTGTATGATGTTGATAATGTTGATAATAATAATAATAATAATAATAATAAATGCAAATCAGACTGAGAGGGTTGTTTTTATGTTTGGACAATATTTACCTTCCACTCGCCATCTTTCCGTACACTCTTGATGACACCATTTAGGATTTCTGTTGAGACAAGTACAGATATAACACAAATGCAATACTTCAGATCTGACCAACTTCCTGGTGCTTTGCCAAGTCATTCTAGAAGCGGGTTCAACAGAAGAGTAGTTGCAAATGCTTTATCATAATAAGCAACTGCATAGGTGACTTAAAGTTAGGGTGTAAATAGTAAGAACAGCAAAAAAAAAAAAAAAACTACGCCAACAGATTGTACAAGACTTTATTGTCTCATCATGCTGTGGGTAAAAAATTAATGTGGTGCAACCTGCTCTTCAAAACCCAGCGGCTTTAACACCCAGGATACACCTAAAGATGATGAACAATTACAATTATTATTTTTAATGCTGATTTTAATCTTGAAAACTAAAGTATGGACCATTTGTTTCTTCAAAATTTTCAATTAATTATTATTTTTTAATAGACTGGGTTAGTTGATACCCTCAAGTGCACATATCATATTTGCTATTTAATAAACGTTCATCTTCATATCAATAACAATACGTTGTTGTTTTACACATCAACGATTAATGAAAACGCAGTTTTTTATGAGCGGAATAAAATGAACCAATTAAAGCTACAAGTGAATTGTTTTAACATATGAAAATCGTGATATTTGTTCAAAGTTAGTTTACTTCGCCTATTATGGAGAACTTGACGAACTTCCGCATTACGTAAGGTAGCCGACATTAGCCTTCACCTGCCATTCATCTGGACGTACTTACAGACTTAAAATGAAGTTGCCATTAAGATATTTCACAAAATCAATATTTTCGCTCGCTGCTAATTACGTCGCTCGGGTGACATTTTCCTAATTCGGCATTTTGATTTGAGATTTCAGCCCAGAAACATCTTTCGAGGAACAAACTTCGTTCTCGAGCGTCACGTTCACATGACCGATTCATCACAGCGTCTCACGCTTAAATTTGTCAATGTATACAAATTCCAGTAGTAAAGAAAGCATTAAAATAGTTCGACAACGGAATGTGTGCCACTTACTTTCTCCTACGATTGTTTTTAGCCCAATCGGTGCCATCTTGACAGCCACAGGGTAATTTCTGTCACAGTTGGTCACTTCCTTGTTATTAAATTCTTCCTACCTGCTCGTCATAAACATTTCCTAGGAAACAGTGACCCCTACAGCCTACTGACGGCATAACACGATTGAAGTTTTATCACCTTTGCTCATGTTTACCTAATGGCCAAGGTAGTAATAATTTAAGATGTTTCAATGTAGTTATTTTTATTCCGTTTTAATTTTTTTATTGAGTTAGTTTCAAACCCAAAAGCTCATGTATGACATTAATTGACAAAAACGAAAACAAAGTACATTTGCTCCAATTATAGTTACTTTACGTTAGTTTTATTTTTTAAACATTTTCGTTTTTATTTTATTTCGTTAACTAAAATGTTATTTTTCAATTATCGTGTTTTTTTTTGTTAGTGTCATTAAACATAAGAACCTTGCGAATGACTGGATAAATGTGGATTTATGAGGCTTTGTTTCAGTACAGGGAAAAGGATGGCATTCTTACAACGTTGCTTTTTTTTCTTCCTTATTTGAAAATATGTCCTTTATTCTTCCACTAGTTTTCGTTCAGAAAAACATGGATTCATTAATTCAAGACTCTAAATTGTCTATAGCTGTGAACGGTTGTTTTTCTGAATGTGCCCCGAGAATAACTTGCAACCAATCCAGGGTATCCCTGAAATTTTCACCCAAAATTATCTGTATAGGTAAACTCACCCTGAACTCTAATGTGGACAAGTGGTATAACAGGATGGTTCAAAATTTTAGATCACACAAAATCATGAGAATCTGTGTCCAAATCAGAGCTGACACCGCAAGAACATTACTGAGTCACTTTTGTCACATAAAGTATGATATGATGCAATGTATGGATACAATAACAACACCAAACACAAGTCCAGCAGCATATATAATCATTGAATCACAAAAAAATACTAATATTAATAATAATAATTACACTGCAAGTACGTGCTGTCAAAGTTCACTGGGAAAAGTATGAAATTCAAATCGCCCTGCTCCATTGAACGTTGCCTTATGTGATACATGATCACTAATTTTGGTTTAAATATTTTTCAAGAAAATATTTTTAGTTGTCTGACTCCATTGAGATTTGTTTCAGTCGCCGCTGCTCTTTTCGTGCGCGCATTCTCTCCTTGAAGTCTTCCAACTCTTTCCTCTGCAAGTTAACATGACAAAAGAAATATATTAGTTGAGTCGTGTAAGAACTTCTGTGGGTGTTCTGAACCCAAAGAGCATCAAAAATAATAATTAAAAAATGGGAATAAACTTTCATTCTTAATTGCTGGTATCAATCATTTCAAAATGATGGTTGTCCTAGCTACCATCCTAATACTAAAAAACATTCACACATCACATTCTACCTTTAATTTTTGCATTCAACAGATTCAGATCACTCCAACTTCAGTTTTCCCGCAATTCTACATTTCTCACTTTAAAACTCCTCATTCATGTCCGAGTGAATTGGATAGAGATGGAGCTCATGCCCTTGCTTTCAAAATCATTTCAAGGTGTTGGTAAATGACAAAACGTACATACATACAGTTTAAGATGCAACAGACACTTACATGAAGTTGCTCGTCTGCGGGGAAGATCTCCCTCTGAGTTCCATAAAATATTTCAGAGTAGAAAAGATAAAGTGCAATTAGTTTTACAACACGGGCAACTGCATTGTGTATTAACTTACTGTTTATACTACCGGGATACAAACCTTCCTCTTTACGATGTATTCCTCAAAATATTCTGCTTGATTCGATATCCAGAACATGGAAACGGGGAAGGACAAATACAGCATCATCTGTTCCACGACAGCAACAATATACAGACAAGCATGTCAGTATTCTTGCCAAAGACTAGAACCGAAACACCGAAATCTTCGTCGTTTTAAATCGTAACAGTTAAGTGTTTGGCATCCCCCACGCACAAAAAAACTGGTTGACTTACTTTGAACATTTCTATTTTTACGCCCATTTTGAAGTGAATTTTCACCACAAGACTGCTAAAGCGTTATCTGATCTCGAGCTGCAGCCAAAGGCCTTCACGCTGTTTACCACTGGAGTCAGGCGACACTCGATACCAAAGTCAAGCTTGCTGCCGCTGGGGTTGCTCATACTATGTATTACGGTAAAACGCCGCCACGACCTACTTTTATTGTGTAGCAATTTTATTGTCACTGTTAAAAATGGGAACACTACCTGGAGACTAAAGGCACTCCTGAGACAGTGTGCATTATCCCTAGGTGGACTGGTTACCTGACAAGAGAAAGATTACAACAATTTTAAATCCAACGCACTCGAGTCGATGTCAAAATAGCTTTTATTTTGAAGGTGGCCAGCGCAGCACGTTGATGACGTTTACCGTAATGTACATTATTTAAACTCGTTGAGTTTTAACTTCGACTTTTTCCGGGATATTCTGAAGGACCAATCACGAGACGGGTGATGCGGCTGCGTACAAGTTATGGGACCGTAAAAAATAAAACACCGTTTTTAACCTTACATTTCTTCGTTCTTACATTATAATTCACGACTGATATTTTATGGTGTTTTGTATGTGTATTCAGAAATGTATTATTTATTTTTCTACCACTAACAAAAAGCGTTTACCAATATAACATGTAGATACATTTATGTCCACTAAAGGACGCTGCAAACCAGATGTTTGAGGTAAACCCTGTTTATTGTGAATGGTTCTTAAAAACAAAACAAAAAACTGATATATTTTGTACAGGTATATGGAGGTTTTGTGTCGATATTGATCAGTATTGGCCAACAGGCTTTTTTTTTATCTAATGAGACGTCAGAATGGCACAGGAATAATTAAATGATTACTGGTACAGTATTGGATTGCTGACATATATTCCTGTCTTGTACGTACAATTTAAAAAACAGAAAAGGTAATGTTGTGATCAGATATAAACGAAATAATTACAGAAATTCTGCATTTTTTTCTGCATGGTGGCTGCCTGTTTCACTAATCTCAGATTAATGCATTTGTTTATTAAATTTACACATACAATTTATCACACGGAGAACATTTCCAATAAATGCCCGCAAACTATCAGTTTTCCAAAATATTTGTCCTTGATTTCGTTTCACTTGCTCGTCAAACGTGACCCCGTCCAACTTGCATTCGACTGGCACGCTCATTACGTCGCCGACGAAAAGACCTACGCGTGACGTCATCGACAAGGAGAGGTGTTCATGATCCTCGGAGAGAAAGAACCCGCGCGCCCTGGCAACCTGATAAACCCAGGTAATCGCCATTGTTTCAACCTCGAATTCTCTCGTTCGTGTCGTGTCCGTCATCTGTGCCAGTGAGCATTGTGAAACACGGCGACGGCGGCGCAAAAAGCCTTAAACTGGGAGGGGGAACGTTGATCGCCGGCGCCCGTTGCGAGCGTTGACTTGCACGGCGGGCCTGCTCCGGCTGGCTAAGGCTAGCTTATTAGCCAAACGCTAGCTGGCACTTGTCTACAAAAAGACACAATAATCGCACTTGACTGATGTGTCCGTCTGATACCCCATACACTTATTAAACACCGTTAGCCCCCATTGGACCACCCGTAGCCCCCCAAACGCCGTTTCGAACACCGATCTCGGCGCCTCGGGCTACTTGGCTCGTCGACTGTCTTGTGTTTTGGGAGACGGCGACGCCGTCACGGTGATGATGGCGCACACTCGCACTGAGGCTGTTTGCTCTGAACAGAGCCAGTGAGGAAAATGACGACAATCGGGGGGGTCTCAATGTCATCTGTGCAACGGTCGGGATTGTGGATCGTCGCGCCTTTGTGCGCGTTAGCAAGCCTGGTTTCACTTGGTGTTGTTCGGACGTCCGTTACGAAACTGCTTCTAATCCATAACCCCGTGGCCTAATGTTTAGGGTCCAGGCTGCCCGACGATGCCAACTACTCATCCGTTACCCACAGATTGAATCACTTCCAGTCATGACTCTTGCACTTTATGCGTTGGGCAAAACATAATGGACGACGCCAATCGCTTTTGAGTCTACTTGTATTATGTGTGCGAGCAGATCTCCGGTGCCCAGGCCCGTTACATGGCAGACTGTCGGTGCTCTATTCTTAGAAACAGCGATTCTGGTTTATACGCACGTACAGTACTTTGTCACGTTCGACCGATGGTGTAATAGCACGACACGCAAAAATTGCAATGTGATGGTAAAAGGCAGGTTCATAAATTATTAGGGCGGGACACAATTATCACCATTTTGGATGTAAACACCACACCACAATGGATTTGAAATGAACAAACGCACAAGATGTTCTTGAACTGAATACTCTTGGCTTTAATTTGAGGGTATTTACCGTGTAAGAATTATAACAGTTTTATAACTGACTGCTCAACTGTTCCATGGCCAGGTTGGCATGTATTGCTGCCAATGGAAGAGATTCCCTTGCATTTGCCGTTTATATGACTGCTGACAAAAAAGCAACAGGATAAATTGTGAAATGTTTCAGTGTTTATTGGCTGATATTCAGCCAAATGCTTCAGTGCAGATTCACATAGACCTGAACCACACTGCAAAAGTAAGCCAGAGTTATTCAAGGCAAAGAACTCAACCCAACTGTATTGTTTATTGTGCAGTAGCAATGTTAGCCAACTGACATGAATCTGACTGACCATACATTTCACTTGTTGATGACTAAACTGAAAGGAAATTTCCCCAAAAAACAAGCAACAAATGAAGTAGACTCCTGGCAGACCATCGCGATGAATCAAAGTGTGAGGCACTTAGAGAAACTGTTGTAATTCCTTCACTGACGACCGTTCACACGTTTGGGTGTAAATGCCCTTAAAGCTGAGATCTGCATTGAAAACACATCGTTTCATTTTAAATCCGTGATGGTGGTGTTTGTATCCAAAAAGAGGAGAATTGTGTCTATGTCTTATTATTTATGGCGCTGACTGTATGTAGAGGTTAAACCGATTAGTCCACGAGTTGACATTTCTGCCCGGCATTAACTTTTAAAGCTTGACTTGGACTCATCACTAAACCACGTGTTTTTGACATCTCGTCCTCCAAATTGGTCAATTGACACGGGAGTTTGGACTGAAAGGCCTGCTGCCATCACTGGACTATAACGCTCTCTGTCGCAGCAAAATGGACTGCCAGCTTAAAAGACTCTAAAATGTCCCTAGACGTGTATGTGAGTGTTACTCATTGCTTGTCCAAACAAGCCCTGTGATCAGCTGCCAACCGGTCCAGGTTGCACCCTGACTCATGCTCAAAGTCAGCTGAGATAGACTCCAGCTCACCCGTGACCCAAATGAGGACAAGTGCTTTTGAAAATGGACGGACAGACGGATGTTGGCACCTTGTTCACCCGCGACAAACAAATAACACAATGAATCTTTGTAATTTAGGGGAACAACGTACGGTTTAAGGACGAATGCAAATTATTTTCATGATGCCAAACAACGATTTGAATGCCTGGAAATGACAGCTTGTCAATGATTGACTTGATTGTTTAGTTTGGTGAATTTCCTGGAAACCCCCCCCCCCCCCTAAGATTTTCCAAACAGCATTTGTGAGCAGTTTTCAAAGGATGCCTTTGGTTTAAATCATTTTGTGTGCTCAAGAATGCGCTTTTCTTAGCCTAATGCCCCCCCTCACCACCACCTCTCTGTTATGATGCTGTTTTCGGTTCTACTCTCCAGTTGCCATGGGAACATTTTTGGCCTAGTTATGAGTGACCTCTAGATGAAACAGACAGTTCGGTCTGGGAACAAATGAGCCGACCAACCAAATCCAGTCCAGGCTTTACGTGAGCGCGTATTGGGGAAAAAACATGCGATATTGGTGTTAAATATTGTGATATTGATATTGCAATAGGTAAAATGTACCTAAAAAATTAGTTTTCTTCTTTAAAAGGGTAGTCAAGTCCAAAAAAAAAAAATAAAAAAAAAAATCTTCACAGTAATATGTTTGATGAAGCCCCAGTAGTCCAAACAAAATTATTCGGATTAATCTTGCGTTTGTGGAATATGAATGAAGCAACAAAATCCACCTGTTCCTGACCAGCTTCCACAAGTCATAACTCGTAGTTTCACGTGTCTGGTTTAGGCAAGACCAAATTTTCTCTTTTTTAAAGAAAGAGTCCCCAATCGGTTTGACTTCCACAATACTCGTATGATTAATGGCAGGCGCTCTCACGCTTCCTGGCTCATTCTCATCATCCAGCACTGTGTTTCATCTGCCGCTTAGCTAACTTCCCCCCATTTGGTCCACATGAATCCCCTTCTCCTCTCGTAGCATTTCTTGAAAATGCAATTCAACCCCACCCTCCTTTCCTGTTACACGGCCGTCAGTTTCGGGCTACCCCCGCATAGTTATAGGCTGGAGCTTTGTCACTGTGGCAGCTGCTGTATTGTCTCTGGCAGTCGTGCGTACGACATGGCACGTGCTCTGTCAAGTAAACACTCTCGGTGTCGAGCCTCTTGCTAGGATGAACTAATGCTAATGTTTCGTTGGGAATGTCAGACATTGCGGATTGCGATCATTAACCTCTCTCAGTAGACAATGTGGCCGGAGTCTCTGCCTGGTGATGACGATTCCAAACGGGATATATTGAGTGGGTATCAGTTTTAGGAAAGTCACTGATGACGTTTACCTGCAGTCAGTAACGCTGTTCAGTTAATTCCGTTTTTCCACGGCCCTCTGAATAGGGATCGTCGGTCAGCATGGAAGGATCACTCGTTCTGTACTTTTTTGATCATTTATTGGAGCACTTTGCAGCAGAAGTAGTAGTAGTTGTCACAGAAGTAGTATCGGAAGCAGGTAATAACCTAAAGCACACATAAATGCAGTAAAAAAAAAAGAATATATCTATCTTTCTGCATCACAATGTAAATATGTATATAGTTGACATTAATACCTTTATTTAACAATACGTTTAATAAATAATTTAATCAACCATGATTTCACTATGTATCATTATTTTAAACGTAAGAAACCACACAACACAAACATATCAAGTCGAATCGAACAAAAGAACTACAAGTCCCAAAGGTCCAACCCGGAAGTGGAGCGCCGGCATGATTAACCGCAGCTGCTACGCAATTGACTTCGTTTAAACATCAATGTGCAACCGGACAAACATGACAACTATGCAAAACGAGCAAAAATGAGCTAAATAAAAGACACCACTGTTCTAGCAACACTTTAGCCCACGTTGTTTAAATTGCCGATTGCGAACGGTAACTGACTGTGATTGCATAGCGATGTGGCGAACATAAAGCACAACGGACACAATGCAAAGCAGACAAACAAAGCAACCGATCATGATCGAGTCTAAAAAAGGTAACTTTACATATCTGGTAAAGGAAAGCGGAGACACACGTAGCTTACCATTGGGCCATGCCGACGACGAAGCGAGTGTATTCGCTAACGAAACGAAAAGCGATGCTGCTTTTTATACGTCGCGCGAACGGTCACCTGTCAGTGTGAGCCCCGCCCCTCTTAAAGCGCCAGGCGAATCCAACAAACGCTTTTTAAAATGGTTTAACAACACAATGACTTGTCACTGAATATGTTTTTGTTGCACTTTATGAATGTCTGCCGGTATTGCGAACGTCATTTAATGACATTCAGCCTGGTGTTGTTGTATACAAATAAGAATGACGTTGGCTTGATACCCGCAGATGTTCCACACCCAATGTGTGTGTGTGTGTGTGTGTGTGTGTGTGTGTGTGTGTGTGTGTCAGTTGCACCACAAAAACGAGAAGTCGCATTCTGTCAAAAGTATTCCGCCGGCGCCGGTTCGTCGCGTTGAGATTCACGTTAGCTCTCTCGGCCTGAGTACAAAATATTGGCCGATTGTGGACCTTCAAACAGTGGCCGAAACAATTGGCCAAATGGCCGATGTTTGATGATTGTTTTGACCTTTTCTGTACTCTAACCATTGACAGCAGCGGTATACAAGCAACGCTAGTTTGATTAATTATTCAAGGTAGACTTTCACAATAACCCTCATGAAATGTGTCAACGGTTAGCAAAAAAAAAAAAAAAACTGCCCGATAGTTGACACCCATTGAAATGCATGGGGGGATGTTTTATGCATGATATATTTTAATTAATTGGCTGATTCATCTGTAATCGGTATTTTTTTTCTGCCCAAAATTGGCATCGGCCTCAAACATTCCAGATCATCCCAACCTCTGCATTTCTCCTCTCCACTCCATTGTGGGTAAACTTTGCACAAACGCATCCATTTCTTCAATTGCTGCTCTCAGTTCTCTCTTTTCACACGGAATTCGTTTCATTCCGTTGTCGTTTACGCCTCCCTCTCTGTTCTGATCCTAATTGCGGTTGTGTTTGAATACCTGACTTGTCACGTACGCGCATCTGTCAAAAATAGGGGGCGGGGGCAGGTTGTGGCTTTGACTTTGATAATTTCCCTCCACGTTGCTTCATGCGGCTGAAGTGTGGGTATGTGTCTCCTTTAAGTGGTTTGGGGAGAAAAGAATCACCCCGAGAAGGGGGGCGGGGGGCTTGATGAAGCGGACAGCAGCAAAGGCAGGAAGGGGTGTGGTGTTGAAGGTGTAGGAGTAGGGGAGATAGAGAGAGAGAGAGGGGAGCGAGCGAGCGAGCAAGAACCTCAAGCTATTGATGGGGAGACAGGGGAGGGGTGGAACGAACAAGCATGTATGGCAGCCAGAGGAAGGGAGGGGTGTGTGTGTGCGTGTGTGGGCCGAGGCTCTGGTGAATGAGGAAGCAGCAGAGCCATTTTTTCCTGTTGAGAAACTGCACGCTGGTCTGCCTGCGCGAGAGAGAGAGAGAGAGAGAGCACGCGAGGGGGAATAAAAGTCCTCCTTCCCGGAGTCTCTCCGGGGTCCCCGCAAGGCCCGGGCCTTGCGTGCCTCCACGCTCACCGCTGCTTTTTTCATTGGAGTTGGGGAGGCCCCGAAGAGGACACAATGGAGCGGAGAGCCTTTGGCAACTGGGCCGTTGTACTACTGAGAGGGGGATGGGGTAGAGAGAAGACCGGTTCACACAGCTAGCAAAGCCTGCCTGCCGGCCGCTGGCTTCCGTGGCCTCTCCTCCGCTCCCGAACCAGCTCTTCCCGTCTCCCAGCCTATTTTTTTTTTATTTTTTTTCCCAGAACAGACCCCCGCCTCTCCACCCAAAACTCCACTTGGACTACGCAATGGGTTTACTCATCATGTTTTGCGGGATTTTCGGATACGCACCAGAGCCCCGGGCTTAAATCTGGGTGTTCTGGATGACAGGAAAGGGAAACAAAAAAAACCCCAACTTTCCCAATTCTTTTTTTTTCTTACCTTTCTTTTGGGATTGTGGCTTCTTTCCGTGCCGTCGGAGTCTTTGTAAATGGATTACAAGATGCATGCCAAGTCCAACGATTTGCTGGATTTCCAAAAACTGGATGCCCTCCTGGAAAAGATTGCACATTCGGTGTCTGTGAAAAGGTAATTTTTGTTGAGCGCAAAACTTTTTTCCAAAGAAGTTATATTATTTTTCACCACACTGCCCTTTTTTTTTAAATTATTATTTTTTTGGGGAACAAATGAAACTTTAATAATCATAATAAATCAGTTCCGCGCAATGTTGATATGCTGAGGACAAGGCAACATTCGGAACAGCCTGGAGTCATGGCTCTTGGGACTGTCATGTGGCGAGTCATTAATCGTGTGTATCGACATAGCCCGGTACTTCTTCCCCCCCCTTCCCTAGTTGTTTGTTGCAGTCTCATGTTGAGGACAGTATTGTTATCCACATTTTTTTTGTTGCCAGAAGCCATGAACCAGCCTCCTGGTGAGAGAGGGGGGGATATATGGGGGAAGGGGGCCGACGGAGGAAGAAGGGGGTTGTGTGTGTGTGTGATTCATGGAACTTTGGCTTGCATATCGCGGCCAGCTGGAAGTTGAAGCGTGAAAGAGTCTTCATTTTCTTTCGGTATCTTATTTGAGTCACGGTTAGCCTATTTGAGTCATTTTAATGCACTGACTCATGTAGACGCTTAGAATAGAAGTCTTTATTTTGGATTATTGGACATCATCCAGTTGTGGTCTTCTTGCGCGCCGAAGCGTTTTGAGCTTTTTGGGAGAAAAAAAAAGCTTCTTGATCTTTGATTGATCGTAGCTGTTTGTTGAGGAAACTTGTTTTTGTGGTGCAAAGAGATGGCTGTCATTTGCAATACAAAAAGAAAACATGAAGCTGTATGGCGGCGAAGCAGCTGTGATTCTTGAATGGGAGCAAATGTTAAATTGCTTAAAAAAAAAAGGAAGGAAGGATAGCGGCAGTGGTGGTCTAAATCCTTCCAAATGCAAATGGTGTTCACACGGCGATTTTCGCATCATTTCTTATTATTTGAAGTCGGTCGTCGAGCGAGACCGATACCGGCGCTGATTGCATCGCCGCAGCCGCTTGATCGACATTCTGGTGATTAATCACACATCGTCGCTAATCCAATCCTCATAATGACCCCACCTGTATTCCTCTCATTGACCTAGTTAAGGAATGATTGAGAAGCCCCGCCCATTTGCGGGGGGAAAATCATGCCAAAATTGCCGCTTTGGAGCCATAAAGAACCCGAGTGGATTTCAAGAGCACTTAAACAACAAGCAAAGATGTTACAAAGTGGCCCGAGATACTGTAATCTTCCCCATGACGTGCATTGACATCACTCCTACAAGCTTGAGTTTGAATGTAAACAAACAACTGCAGTTATCCGGTTTATCCTCGGATAATTGCTGATGCGTGACATGTTTAAGCACTCGTAGGCCGCGATAAACACTTTGAACGGAACAGGGCGGAATTCAGCGTCGGGTCCCGTCATCCACCTCCGTTACGACTCTGATACAAAACCCGAGAAGGCCCAAATATTCCACGTCAACTTTGTTCCCACCACCCGTTCCGGACCAGTGATTTATACAGAACAGAAACACGGTGGGGGGTAGAAAATTCCAGCTCTACTGGGCAATGTCATACTTCCTGATGTTTGGTTAGTCACATTCAAGCATTTCAAAGGCCTTATGTGTCACCGAGATCAATAATCCTTCTCTTTATCGGCGTACATCAATAAATCAGGTCGGCGCGGCTACTGTGCTCATGCTTTGACGTCAATCGTCGCAAAGTGGAAAATGGCTTTTGTGAATCAGCTGGAACGAACGGGTGCGCCTCACATCAGCGCGATTAATTATTTAACCATTTTTACTTTTCGCCCGAGCGCGATTCGGATACTTGGAAGAGGGAAACTGCTCTCCGACATCTTTACCTGAGCTTGACCCTACTCCCCCCTGCCATGAATGATTCATCGAGACTTTCATGGGAGATGCCGGCGACATCTTGCTGTGATGTTCTTGCCTCTACATTTGCCGCGAGGCCCAAACACAAGAGGACATTTCCTGGTGTGAAATGTCCACACCACCCCCATTCACCCCAGGAACTAAAGCCCCTTCCGCTCTTTTCAACATTCCACAGCAGTCTGCGGTGATGTATGTCCAGGTCAAAGGTCAACTGGTCTTCCAGAGTTTTTTTTTTTAGGGGGCAGTGCAGGACATGCGAGCAGCGGGAAGCGGAGCTTTTCATTGCCCTCACTTGAAGCGCTTGTGCACACTTGATTCGTCTCACATGCCAACGCTGTTCTTGCTCCGGCCCGTCGGCTCACCGAGACGAGTTTTTACTCGCGCATCATATTGGCGAAATGGTGCAACACCATTCCCATGGAACCTGCGGTACGGCGAAACCAAAATGAATCCACGCCGGTTATTTTGAATGAAACCGGTGCGTCGGAATATTTTTCACTCTGCTGGTGCTGGATATTTGACATTTTTTTCAACCTTTTGCCCAAAGTCAGCTGGAATAGGCTCCGGCCGGCTCACCTGCGGATGTGGAAGTGGTACGGAAACATGGATATATGGATCTTTAGGGGGCGGGGGGGGTTATCCTTTTGACTTCTGTAAAATGAACTTTGAACCCCGGATACAGTTACAACCTTGAGTGGGTTGGCGCATGTAAGTGATTGGATCAATAACCTCACGGGCGAGGGTTGGTTGTCAGCCTGGGCAGGCTCGCTTACACACACACACACACACACACACACACACACACACACACACACACACACAGAGCGTCAAAATGTATTGTAAAACTGAAAAGCGTGAGCCCATTAAAACTCATTCACTCCCAAAGACGTTTTTAAACGTCTTTTCAGACTTGGTCCAGAACTGGTTGGTACTGAATGAGTTAAGGTGTATTAGCAGAGCATATCGAACTGATGAGTCTATGATGTCACTGCACTTCATTAACCCTTTCGTGGACAGCGGTTACGACAGTGGACGGCTCACCGTGTTATCAGGTTACAGGGCGCATGAAAGGGTTCTTAAAATAGTCATTAAAGATTCATCTTGGGCGACCATTTGGGTCATGAAAAAATCCGCATCATTTGTTTTCGTATTAACGATGTAGACACCACGTCTTTATCACCTGCTTTTTTTTTTTTTTTTTTTTCTTGGAACGCCATTTTCTAATTCCAAATATGTCAGGCATGTTTGACTTCCAATTCGACACTTGGACGTGGCCGCGAGTGTGACGACTTGGCCAAGAACTACTTGTGTCCGTAGGCCAACGTTTGGGGTTTCTTGACATAATATAAGCAAAACGGCTCTCAAGTGCGTTCATGTTGTCCAGAGGCGACTTTACTGCCTGGTGGAAGTTTGTCAGTTTGTCTTACTAATCACTGTTTACAGTCTATTTTGTTTAAATTATACTGGAAGGTAATTGCCAATAAAAAGCCAGCCAGCATTTCCTGTTTGGATTCCCTCCCTATCGGTGTGTTTTTTATGGCAAACTAACAGGCTGGAGAGCAAATTAAAACTACCGCTCTAGCCGTGGATCTGCCAACCGCTTTTTTTTTCTTTTCTTTTTTTTTTTCACACGAGTCATTCCAAACGCTAATAAATTAAAGCTACGGGGCGACGCCCACGTTTATTTGTCAACGCGCTTGCAGTCATACAAAAAACTATTTCAAAGTTCATCCAAACTTGAAATAGAGAGCGCTGCAATTTCAAACTAAACCGATCGTGAATACTCAAAAACGCTGGTGGGGGGGTGGGGCCGCAGGAACATTTTGTTTGAGTGACTCATTCCCACAATAGCACACAGATGCAGTCTGCGCTCGGCTACGGGTATTCCCGCCACTGGTCGTTGCCGGCCTTTTTCGCCGCAGCTGCTGAGCGATGAGAGAGCACGCCGCCGCTGTATTTCCATAACTTGTGTTATCGGTTATGTTGGGCATAAGTAACACAAATATGCGCGTCACAGACTTGTCGAGTGGAACCTGAGCTTCGTATTAAGTTGCACCACACACCAACGATACTATCCGATCCCATTCATATAAATAGAAGCGTGCCAGTGAAGGGTGCCAATGTGGAAAAACTGTCAGCCATTTTTGTTTTGTTTTGTTTTTTTGAGCTGAGCTTGTCTGGATCTGTGCCGGCAACAGATGCCGATAACCTTGCAGGAGGTGTAAGTTGGTGCTCGCACATTTTTTGCAGATGAATGCGTTCCGCAAGTTGGATTACACTTTCTTTTTCATTCTTTTTTTTTTTTAACCCGGTTTGTGAAAGACTGTTGCGGCAAGCGAGGCCCGCCTGTTGCTGTTAATGAGCGGCTGAGTACCATCTGGCAATATTTATTTGTATGATAAGCGTTTGGCACGCATGGCAACTGGTGTCGGGATAAATTGTCATGGCTTCAATTTTTTGTATTTTTATTGATTTTTTTTTTTTTTTTTTTTTGCTTTGTCCTCATGGAGGTTGTATCATAACCACTGTAACGCGTTTTCCACCATCGTGAGGGGTCTGCTGTCCCAAAGGGAACATGAGACACATTTTCCAAGACGACAAGAGAACGCCCTGCGGGACGACCGGCGTTGTAATCTAAATACGGTGAAGAGCATTGCTCACCTTGTCCTTTGCCCTCTGCCCTACAGCTGTTCTTTGCACACTCGCACATTTGTTCGCTCGTTCTCTGCTTACGTAAGGTTTCCCGCCCTTGATAGGTGGCTATCACTCGAATGTAGCCACTTTGCTCCTGTCCAGTGAAACTACACTTTGCTCTGGCTCCCTTTACCTCCCCAATGACGATATATATCACTGGTATTACATTTTACGTTCGAGCAGGCTCATTACGACCGAAACAAAGGTGACAACTACAAACACATTTCCTCGTGTTATGTTTGACCCACAGTGACCTTTGAATTGCATGTGAGCTACGCATTACTCTACTTGCTGCCGTCAGCCTCTTTTCTCCCTGTTCAATGGGTTTTGCGCCTCTGGGCATTTGCGGAAGTTTTGATTGACCTCAGGTATGTGGTTTGGTTAGTCTCTGATGTGTGTACGACGTGGTGCACGTGACCTTAGTTGGCCTTATGCTAATATCCGGTTGGCGTCACCGGCGCCATGAAATAAGAAACAAAAATCTAAGCTGAACAGGTCCGGCGAGCCATTTTTTTTTTTTTTTGTCTACAATCACGCATTACTAACTTTTTTTCCTATTGGAAGACATATAATATATAACATTATCTGAAACATGTCTCTCAAGCGGACTTAGAATAAGTTTGCGGAGATTGTCGATACGGCATTAAAAAATTGCGAAAGCCGCTTTTGGAGCCGAAAACCTGTTGAGACGTGCAGTCGCCATTTCATGTTGCCGTCACGTGGTGACCTCAAGTTTAGTCAGATTCTCGGCTGTGTGTTTGTTTGAATGCCCCGAGGAGGCCAATAAGCGGCGGTCATGTGTTGCACAAACTCCTTCCCTGTTCCCTTTCAAGTGACGACATCAAGAATGGGATTTCGGAACAGACGACACAGCCAAACGTTGAAGGTTAAAAGCCTTCGTCGTGACGACGTGTTCCGCGGTAACGTCGGTGGCTCTATTGTCGTACGTCACCGTTCACCGCTCTGGCGTTGCTCAATTGGCTTTGCTTGATGATTTAACTTTTGACTTCTATTAAGCTTCCCCAAGGCTTGGTCAATAATGACTGCGTACATGCATTGTATTATGTGTCACAATTCTATAATCACGGTCTGGTATGCGACAGTTTATTAAAAAAACAGAGTCAGGGAGCGACTGTTGTGCTCGCTTTATACAGTGACAAAGGCTTAGAAAGGCTCTTCTCCACTTGAGGCCGCTGGATTACATTTGTTGCCGACGGCGCGAAAGGTTAACATCAAACTGAAAATGCCGCTCGGTGTCAAACATGAACATCTGGTGTGTTTTCTCTCCCCCCGCCCCCAGAGAGTCCAGCGAGGAGTGCAATGGGATCAGTGGTGCTCTGTCAGTGGAGTCTGTGCCGGGGCCAAGATTGAACTGGTGCACTGCCAACAGCGCTCCCCCTGCCCTCGCTCCAGCCCCTGCAGCGGGGCCCGGGCCCATGCCCATGCCCAACCCAGTCAGGATGGGGGACGGCCTGGACGCTGCGCAGATGTCGGGCGGCAGCAGTAGCAGCAGCGGCGGCGGCAGCCAAGGGCAGCCCCAGACAGTTGGCAACCCCCCACCCCCGGAATACATCAACCTTGACAGGCCCAAGCGCCAGACCAACCAGCTGCAGTACCTGCTCAAGGTGGTGGTGAAGTCCCTGTGGAAACACCAGTTTGCCTGGCCCTTCCATTCACCGGTGGATTCAATCAAACTCAATCTTCCTGTAAGTCATGCCCTTTTTCTCTTTTGTGCTCCTTCGGAAAAGCCCAAAAGATGACACAATACGCTGCCAAAGCCCTGTCTAAATAGGAGAGTCGTGCCGTAAATGGTGTCAAGGAAGTATGTCGAAGTGAGTGAGTGAAGCATTGCGAGACAACCTTGTGTTGTTAGTGGAAGTTACTCAACTCATTCAACTCAACTGTATTTATAGAGCACTTTAAAACAACTGTCGCTGTATACAAAGTGCTGAATATGGAGCAAATATCATATATATATATATACCACAATAAAACAAGTTAATGGCAAAGACAGTAGAAAGCACCAAAGAGCAAGACCAAGTCTTGAGTCGTGCCGTGTCAAATGCCATAGAATACAAATGAGTTATGAAAAGTTAAAAAGGATCTTCGCCCAATGGCTGTGTACATGTGCACATTTCCGGTGCCATTTTATTTTTCCAAACCGAAGCGTCTTTAAGCAGTTACTTTTCGGGTTCATGGAAGGCCGGCGTCGCCACAACAATTAACGGCCTGTCCCTGGCGAATTGCAGGGGGGATTATTCGACACTCGTTTGCCTTCCTCTAGTTGGAAAATGCTTCAACTTTGACCGACTTAAGTCATCGCTTCAACCATGCTCGAAACACTTTTTGATGACTTTTCCGCAGCGATGATGTCATAAGGCACGCGTGTGTCATCCGCTTCTGCTCATCCTGGGTGACATAGTTGACAGAGGAACGTCCACTGTGAGGTTTCTCTCCTCGACTTCTGCACAATTTGATTGTACCGATCCGTTGTGCAGGACTACTACACAATAATTAAAAACCCCATGGACATGGGAACAATCAAGAAAAGGCTTGAAAACAGCTACTACTGGAATGCCCAAGAATGTATCCAAGACTTCAACAAGATGTTTACCAACTGCTACATGTACAATAAGGTACTGCAGTGGCGCTGTTGACAATGAGGTTAAGAATCCAATACAAAGTGTAGATGCTGACGAGACTTCAAATTTGTTCCATGATTGTCTGTCACCGCAGCCTTCGGATGACATAGTCTTAATGGCTAAGGCGCTAGAGAAGGCTTTCCTCCAAAAGGTCGCCGACATGCCTCAGGAAGAAATTGAGATTGCGGTCATGACAGGGAAGGGCCGGGGCCGAGGTCGCAGAGACGCCGGTAATGTTTCTTTCAAGTCCATCTCACGATCGCGTGTTGTCGCGTCGCTTTTGTTTTAGCGTGAACTCTTTCTCTCTCCGTCGTCCAGGTCTCAGCTTGAAACCGGGGGCCATCATCGACCCTTCCTCCACAACCCCTCAAACGCGAGGTCTGTCAAGCCTCTCGACAGCACCTCAGACCAGAGGACCGGCACAGGGCCCGCCTTCACTACCTCCTCAGCCTTTAATGCAGGCCCTCCCGTCCCACGTTCCCCCGACGTTACCGGGCCACGCGGCACAGCTAGGAGCGCCCTACTCTTTGGGCCAATTGGATTGCACTCTTCAAGTTCCCATGATGACCTCCGTGCCTCCCCCCGTTCAGACCTCCCTCCCGCCGGCATCCATCCAGAGCACCGCCCCCATGCTGCAAAACCCGATCACCATGACCAAAGTGAGTGGGCGATTCAATGTGGAGGGGAAATCATTAACTCCATTTAATGGCTTCATCTCGCCGACATCAATATGTCTTGCAACAGCGAGGTGGAAATGAACAAAATAAATAAGAGCAGAGGTTCGCCCACACCGGAGGGTCTGGACAAATTTAGAACATATTTGGATTCATAACACAGCTAAGCTTATTAGATGGTAAAATACAAAACATGGAGCAAATTCTGAACACTTCATTATCAACTATCACATCATAAAAGATCAGATACAGGTGAGAGAGGAAAAAAAAACGGGGACATGACTCCTATGCTGTTTAAAACTCATTCAGTACCAGCCAATTCTAGACCATGTCTGAAAAGATGTTTAAAAACGTCATTGGGAGTGAATGAGTTAACAGAGACGGACGGCAACACGGCCTCATAGCAGGAGGACGAGGAGGGACGGACGGGCCTTTCCACTCGTCAATGTTCAGAACGTGTGTGGATATCTCAAATTGTGATCAAACTGCTTAGATCAGGGGTGTCAAACTCATTTCACATTGTGGGCCACATACGGACTCTGTAGATGTCAAGTGGGCCGAACCATTAACATTATACCATATCATCTCTTTCCTTTGTTTTGGTCTAAAGAAACATTGATTGGCGCCTTCATATCATTTGCTGCGTTGGGTCTATCTCGGTGACAGACTGAGACTGCTGTTTTCTTCCCCAATCAAAACAATGTTGTCTTCTACTGTGATCAAAACAGTGTGCCCCCTAGCGGATAATCCACGAAATGCATTTTATTTAAAATATTCATTCACTGTCTTTAATGCATTTTTTTTTCACTTTTAAATGATCCCGCGGGCCGGATCAAACCTCCTTGGGGTCCGGTTCCGGCCCGCGGGCTGTATGTTTGACACCACTGGCTTAGGTGTTCATTATTTTATGCACACATTGACTTTTTACTCCTTTGCAGTCAATTGTGTTTTTATTTATGCTACAGTAAAATAAAAATTAAAAAAAATGACGTGTGGCCGGTAAGGTGACAGGTGTTCGATTAGGGGAAACACTGTATGGTTGTCGTTTATTCTCTGTCCTCCTTTTATTGTTGTTTTCCCCAGCAAAGAAAGAGCCAGAAAAGAAAAGCGGACACTACAACACCCACAGCCAACGACCAGCTCAGCGAGTCCTCCCCAGCCGAATCCAAGTCGGGGAAGACGCTGCCCCGGCGGGAGAGCAGCCGCCCCGCCAAAATGGTCAAGAAAGAGGCGCCGGACTCGCAGCATCAAGTGGTGATGGGAACGGGCATGAGCGGGCCCAGTAGTAGCCATAGCCCCGTCCCGCAAGACCAACTGGGCTACTGTTTGAGTCTGGTCAGAGAGATGCTGTCCAAGAAACACACGATGTATGCCTGGCCCTTCTACAAACCCGTCGATGTGGCCGCGCTCGGGCTGCACGATTATCACGACATCATCAAACATCCCATGGACCTGAGCACCATTAAGGTGTGCATAGCGCTGCAATGCGACAATCAAAAGTCCTTCATTTCCTTGATTTTTGTTGTTGTTGTTGTTGTTTTTGTCATGCATAGGCCAAGCTGGAGAACAGACAATACCGGGATCCCCAGGAATTTGCTGCCGATGTCCGGTTAATGTTTTCCAACTGCTATAAATATAATCCGCCTGACCACGAGGTGGTGGCGATGGCACGCAAGTTGCAGGTAAACTTTTTTTGTGAAAGGTGTGTCTTCACTCCCAAAGACGTATTTAGATGTCTTTTCCGACGCCACACATTTAATCCCAGCTCTTCATTTTATATTGACTGGACTTGAAAAGGGTCTGAAAGGGTCTCAAAATGGCATTTTCAGACCCACAGTCAATATAAAATGAGGAGCTGGGATTAAATGTGTGGCGTCGGAAAAGACATCTAAATACGTCTTTGGGAGCGAATGAGTTAAATATTTCTCGGAACCAGTTTCAATTGAATTATTTATTCGGCGGCTATTTGGCATGGTTCTAAACGCTACTTTGTTTTACATTCTTTGCACGTCGCTCTTTTCTCATGGTAGTTTGTGTCCCATCGGAAGGGTGCAGTGTAGCTCTATTTTTATATGAATGGTATTTTATTTATTTATTTTTATATTACCCGTTACAACTTTTGACTGTTACTGGTTTAACAGCACAGCTTTTTCGGAAACAGGGCTTAAATCCTCTGTGATTTATTTTAAAAAATAATTTTAAGCACTCCCGTTAGAAGTCAACTGTTTTATACCTTTTTGTTTTCTCAACATTTTATAGGACGTGTTTGAGATGCGCTTTGCCAAGATGCCGGACGAACCAGAGTCCAAACCCCTCGCCTCCGTCCCAGCTCCTCCGCTCCACCACCCTGCCCCGGTGAAACCCCAGCCTCCGATGGGCCGCGTCGCCTCCTCTTCCGACAGTTCCAGCGACTCCTCCTCCGAGTCCGAGTCTTCAACCGACGATTCGGAGGAGGAGCGAGCTCAGCGGCTGGCCGAGCTCCAGGAACAGGTCGGTGTGAGATGAGTCAACTTTAGCTTTTCTTTGAAGAACCTATCGTCGTCCTTGTTGGCGGTAAGAAGGTGGTTCCTTTTCTCGGTGCAGCTGAAGGCTGTCCACGAGCAGCTGGCTGCCCTTTCCCAGCCTCAAGCCAGCAAACCAAAGAGAAAAGAGAAGGAAAAGAAGGAGAAGAAGAAAGACAAACACAAGAAGAAAGTTGGCATCCCCAGCCTGGTTGACGAGATCCAGGATGCCGCACCTGTTTCCCAGCTGTCGAAAAGGACCAAGAGCAGTACAAATAACAACAAAGAGCTACCCAAGAAGAAATCCAGGTGGGGTCTTTTCTTCACAGCTTCTTGAGGGCCGTTCTCTTCATAGGCTGACGTCTCTTTGTTGTACGTTTAGTAAAAAAGAGGCAACGAAAAACAACCAGCCCCCCAACCTCCCGCCCGTTCTCTGCCTGGAAGAAGACCTGGCGGGTTCTTCGGCTTCGTCGGAAAAGTGCAAGCCCATGACGTACGAGGAGAAGAGACAACTAAGCCTGGACATCAATAAGCTTCCCGGTGACAAACTGGGCCGCGTGGTCCACATCATCCAGTCGCGAGAGCCCTCGCTCAAAAACTCCAACCCCGACGAGATTGAGATCGACTTTGAAACGCTCAAGCCTTCCACTCTGCGAGAGCTGGAGCGCTACGTGTCCACGTGCCTTCGCAAGAAAAAGAAGGGCGGAGGTCCGCTTTTGTTTTTTTTGCATCTCATCACAGGGTGGCGTTTTGATGTGGAGATTGACACCCGATTGTTTTGCAGCTGAGAAGTCTATGGAGGCCATGGTTTCCACCAAAAAGACCGGATCTTCTTCGGACAGCAGCGGCTCCAGTTCCGAGAGTGAAACCGAGGCTCCGGGTTCGTCTCCTTCTAAGGTTGGCCAAATTCCTTTTTGGTCAACAGATCTTGAACAGAATGTCCTCATTCGTCTTTCAGGGATGGTCAAACCGCAAAAGAAGAAGGCTCAATCTGTGAAGGAGGGGAAGAAGACGCATTCACATCTACAGACTGCCCCCGCTCAGCCTGCGCTTCATCCGCAAGCGGCGGCGTTTCAGCCTCAGATGAAGCAGCATCAGGCCCCTCCCGTGGAGTATATGCCTCCTCCCGTAACCGCCCTGGAGTCTTCCCAGATGCTGGAGAACAGCTTTGAGTCCTTGCCGTCGTTCAGCCAGCCCCTCATGCATCTTTCCCACCATACGGGAAACGCTTCGTCCCCCGCGCCGCCTCAGCTCAGCGCTAACACCGCTGGGCCGGTGTCCCCCGAGACGCACCCCTTCCTCACCCAACATCCGATCCTCCCCTCTCCAGGTAGGCTTTTGTTTAACTCATTCAGTACCAGCCAATTCTAGACCAAGTCTGAAAAGACGTTTAAAAACGTCTTTGGGAGTGAATGAGTTAAAAAATAAATAAACTGTATATCAAACTATATTATATGATGGGGATGGGCGAGTACTGATACCAGGTATCGGTATCGACCCGATGCTGTCCCTATTTGAATATTTCGAATCGTTTCAAAGGCTGTCGATACTAGCTACGGATACCAGTCACGACCCCCAACCCCCCTTCTTGAATGACAAAAATGTAACAAATAGTAGACTTAATATTTCATGGAACTGCACACGGGGTTTGACATTCTATTTGTCACATGACAGCTCATAAGACCACATGAGACAAGGGGCACCTTCAGAAATTCTTTGGGGAAAACCCCCCCTGCATATTGACAGTCTCTTTTGTTTCTTGTCGCGTAGCCTTGCACAGTTCCATGCCTCAGCAGCCGTCTCGACCGAGTCACAAGGCGGCGCCTCTTCATCCCAAACTTTCCCAGCACCAGCCCGCGCCTCCTCAGCAGCAGCCAGCGTTACAGCAGCAGCAGCAGCAGCAGCCAACTTTGCAGCAGCAGCCCACATTGCAGCAACATCCGCCTCTCCTGCCCCAGTCAGCACCTGCGCCGCATCAGCTGCCCCCGCAGATCCTTCATCCCCCTCAGCCCATGCACCAGAGGCCCCTCTCCCCGCCAACACTCACGCCTCAGGGCTTGCTGTCTTCCCAGCCTCCCCAGATTCTGCTGGAGGACGACGAAGAGTCGGCCTCCTCCACGCCCCTTAACCAAGTGCAACTGTACCTGCAACAGTTCCAACAAGGCCGCCAGCCCCAGCAGTCCATGCAGTCGCTGCAGGCGCAATCTCGTCAGCAGCAACAGCAGCAGCAGCAAGCGGGACAGTCATCCCTGCTGCAGTCTGTCCAGGGCCAACCTCAACTCTCCTCCCAAGCCACGCTGCCCACGGCCCAGCTTCCGCTTCAGGCGCAGGCTCCGGTAGCCCCGCCGCATCAAGCCCCGTCCCAACAGATGTCCCTCCACCAGAGCCGCCACCTGCCGCACAGTCAGCCGCAAGCTCAGCAGCAAGCTCAGCAGCAGCAGCTGAGTTACCAGCAGGTTGCCACGCTCATCGGTCAGTCTCAGGGGCCTTCACACAAGGTGGCCATGCCCAGCAACAAAGCACAGCAGATCATCCAGCCCCCGGAGCAGTTGTCCCCGCGGCCGCCGCCGCCCAAGCCTGACCTTTTCATCGCAGGTGAGTGCGGAGGCGGCAAGCAAGCCAATGTCAACACACCGTTTTGAGGTGTTTATCTTTTTTTTTGTGGACAGGTCACATGAGGGATAACCCATCCCCTCTCATGATGCATTCCCCGCAACTTCCTCAGTACCCTCCCGTGTCTCACCAGTCTCCGCCTCACAATATGCAGCCCAAAAAGGTGAGCGTGGATTGTGACGATGACGAATTTGTCATGTAGAATGGAATTGAATATACCTAGGTTAAAGGTTAAAAAATAGGGCGTTCATATTTTTGAGAAAATTTTTTGTACCCTCAATAGTGCATTTTTGGGGTTTTTTTAAACGAACAATAAATGAATCTTTATTACAATACAAAATATCAGATTGAGTGTACACAAATATTTCGTTTTTATAGTTTAGGCTTACACAAAAAAAAAAAAAAAAAGACGTTTTGTTTTTATCTACTTCAGAGTTGTTTGGTGGACGACTTTGAAGTTTACTTGAGTCCTCTTCAAAAATAAAAAGTCCTCTTACTCGAGAACCGTTTTTCCACGACGACTACTCTGCCCCGCTTGTTGAACCCTTTCATGCACCCTGTCAACCTGATAACATGGCGAGCTGTCCACTGTAGTAACCGCTGTCCCCGAAAAGGGTGAAACTTCGGGTCAAACGGTGACAATGGCTGTTGTGCTTGTCATGCAGCAAAGGGTCCCCGTCAATCAAGGAGTACTCAAAGAGGACAAACTTCCCCCCTCACCGGTGATGAGAGGAGAGCCTTTCAACCCCGCCATCAGGCCCGAGCATCACAAGCATCCCGACAGCAAGCCCACTCAGCAAGGCCTCGGCCAACAGAGTAAGACTTGTAAACCCCGCCCCCTCCTTTCCTTCAAAACGACGGCCATTTATTGAGTGAGGGCCTGCTCATGTTGCTCAGATGTGAAGTCCATGGACAGCTCTCGGCCCGTCATCCGCTCCTCTGAGCCAAGCGGACCGCCGCCGCCGCCACCCCCCGCGCCAGACAAGGAGAAGTTCAAGCAAGAGTCCAAGGCACCCACTGCACCCAAAAAGGTACCAAACCCATCGCATCATTTAAGCTTACCGTCGCCTATTTTTAATTTCCGCCCACCCTTGAAAACAATCGACCTTTTCAATCCAACCCTGCAAACCTTCTGAAATGGTCGAAAAAAATCTTTGCCCTCTTCCGTCAGGATGTGAAACTGAAGAACATGGGCTCGTGGGCCAGCCTGGCCCAGAAGTCCACGTCGACGCCGATGTCCGCCGTCAAGTCCTCGAGCGACAGCTTCGAGCAATTCCGCCGGGCGGCCCGCGAGAAGGAGGAGCGGGAGAAGGCCCTGAAGGCGCAAGCCGAGCAGGCGGAAAAAGACCGCATGCGCAGAGAGCAGGATAAACTGCGGCAAGTACCCATAGGACAAGCGCATGAAGTCTTTGGAAAGCGTTTGGGATCGCTCTGACCATTTTCTGTTCGGAAGGAACAGTCTCCTTTAGAGACATTTAATAATCGGGTATAGCCTTTATCCGAAGGGGGGTTAAAAAAAAAAAAAAAACCCAAAGAAGACTCCAAAAAAAGACCTCATGGTCATTCTGGCTTCACTTGAGAGAGACAAAGATGATATGAGCACCCTCTAGTGGCCAATTGAATTATCAACCACGTATTCTGGGGATTCAAAGTTGTTTTTGCCTAACTTTGAGCTTTCAAATTAGTACATTTTTAATGGATGAGCCTGTAATGCAAATGTAATTATTGTCAATTTATATTTTTAATATTCATAAAAATATGGAAAATGGACGGTTGAATTTTTTTTTTTAAGTCAGTCGAAACAAATGGGGACTGTACTGCCTTTGTACGGTATGCGTTTAACCCTTCCATGCACCAATAATGATAACCTGATAGTGATCGCTGTCCCTGAAAGGGTTAAAAGACATATATCCAAAATAATGTTTTTAAAGACACGATGACAGTGATAAGTCAAAATGCACTATATTTAGTTTTTTTTTAAATTTAAAATATAGTTTACTCCTTCGACACACTTTAAACGCATATAAACCTGTCAACCCCAGGGATGGGTGAGTACCGATCGATGCCAGGTATCAGTATAGGGCAGGCTCTGGCCTGCCCTTTTTTTTTTTTTTTTTTTTTTTTTTTCTAAGTATTGGGTACTCGTGAAGCATGCCGTAACCAGTCACGGATACTCGAGGCATATTTAAAAAAAAAAAAAAAAAAATCTAACATTGAATAAATCTTGCTTGCCAGTAGTTAGTGCTACACTGCGTTTGTCTAAGTCTGAATTGTGACGGGGGAAATGTTGCAGAGGTCGGGATGACGACGACGTGCTGGAGACAAGCAGGAGGGTGCACGAGGAACCGCGCCGGCGTCTGGAGCAGCAGCAGCAGCAGCAGCACATGCAAGTGCCCCCACAGCAGCCCGAGCCTCAGCCAGCTGTGATCCAAACGCCCCCGCAGCAACCCCAGCAGCAGCAGCAGCAGCCGCCCCCGCAGCCCCCAACGCCGCCTCAGCCTGCCGCCGTACACAGCCCGCTCGACCAGCAGAGGGAGCTGGCGCGCCGAAGAGAGCAAGAGAGGAGGCGGCGAGAAGTGGTAAGGAAACATTTCTTCATTTTGGGGAACTTATTCTCCCCTCCAAATTCTTCTGTGTTTAGCATTTACGTGTAAGACGTCTTTTGTACATTTACAACTTTATTCTTATTACATTACAACTTTTTTTTACCCATAACTTACTTTTCGCCCGAAATGTTACAACCATTTTCTCACTATATTTCAACGTATGGTTTTTATGTCAGTTTTCTCAAAATGTCAAAAATAAACTTTTGACTTCTACTTTTTCTTGTATTACGACTTCATGATTGAAACTTTTATTTTCTTGTCCTAAAGTTACTTTATTATTCTAAGTTAGCAACTTTTTTTTAATTATCAGACTTGAATCTTGTTACGTGACTAAATTGGTCTCGTAGTTTTAGGACAAGTCTCTTAGCGCAACTAGATTTTTTTTCTCTCTTTATTCTCATAACATTTCAAAATTTCCTTGCAGTGTTAAAATAATTTCACGATGATGACATCCACATTTTTAGCCACAAGAATCAATTATTTTTTTCTTTTTGTCTCTTCAGATGGCAGCAACGATTGATATGAATTTCCAAAGTGACTTAATGGCGATCTTTGAGGAGAACATCTTCTGAGGAGGCAACAAAGACAAGTAGTGGAAGAAACTAGCTGCAAAAAAAAAAAAAAAAGAAAAAAAAACTCCCCTCCCCAACACAAACACAAAAAGAGTGAAAAAGCAACTTTTTAAGAGGGACGACAAAGCGAAGGCCACATTATCGTCACCGACCGGTCGCCATGTCGGCACTTTTTTGCCTTTTCGTCTCCGCCTTCTAGCAGGATGTGGAGGGCGGCGTCACACCAACAATAATTTGAACTCAAAAGCTCTGATTATTTACTGACACAAGACTGGAGCGCGCTTGTTTCTGGAAGTGAAGAGAACAAGACTTGCTCTTTTTTTTTTTTTAATGTTTGTTGTATGTGAACGCAAGACATGGTCTTTGGGGGGAGGGCGTGGGGGGGGCTTCCACACTGTAAATCATTATTATTTCTCAATAGAGAAGGTATACTTTGCCTTACACATCTCTCTTTAAGACCATGAGGTTCAGTGGCCTGCGCGCGCGCACACACACACACACACACACACACACACACACACACACACACACACACACACACACACACGCTTTGAAAAATGACATTTAATACAAACTACTACATGTAGGAGCAGTCATCCTCTTAGTATCTACTGTAAAGAAGTATTTTCTTATCCGACAATAACTCTTTATTTAGGAGCTTTTATTTCGACCTTTCTTTACCAACACACTCCACACAAAAGCGCATACACAAACACACACACATATCTCTATGCCAAACAACCTTTTAATGCTCTGTCCTCACCTTGTCATAAGGTAGCTACTTAAAATAAAAAAATATATATATGCATTATCATAGCTCCAGCAAGTATTTAAATATCAGACAATTGAAGTCGTATTTTGAAATCCCTGGCAGGACGCAGAGGTTAATGTTGCGGAGCTTCAGTGATTAAATGGTGGTGTTATTATTACTATTATTATGATGATGATGATTTCACTACAGAGCAAAAAACTGGCACCGCTATCCTTGTACTCCATATCGGCAGTCCCACTACTGGATTCAGTCTGACACATCCTCCATTTTACAAGGTTAAAAAAAAGAAGAAAAAAAAAGAAAAGACTAATAGGAGTTCATATTTAGTTCTTGTTAGTGGATGTGACTTCTTTGAGACAATGTCTCTCCTGGTGTTTGTTTTTCTCCAGTGCCTGTATTATTATTATTATTATTATTATTGTTATTATTGTATTGCAATTCTCCTTTTGGCTTATGTTACACTCAGTGGGGGTGGAGCTAGAGTGTAATATTCTGAACGGGAGGGGTCAACGGGAATGTCATTATTTTTGTTTGTTTATGAATGAGTTTGTGTATAAAAGGAAGACAAAAAAAGAATAAAACAATGTTTTATATTTGACCCAACATTGGGGATTTTAAATGTGGTTTTAGCTGGACTTCGAAACAAGCGCTCTCGTTTTAGTCTCAGCCACGACACATTTGGCTTAGGATCCTGCTTGTGTGTGTTTGTGTACATTTGAATGGCTGTGCGATTGTGTTTATTGATTTTTTTTCTATTGAAGAGAATAAAGAGTAAAAGAGTACTTCGGGAGAACTTTTTTTTTTTTTGCTTAAGTCACCTTTTTTTATTTCCCATGAAGTCCACCGTAGAAGAATATATCACATCTGGCTTTGAAATGACAAACAACTGAACTCCTTGGCTTTTCTTATTCGCTCACTCTCCTTTTCACACAATAACTGTCGTGCCATGTGTTCTATGGAGAATGTGCTGACTCAGCCCAAGAGTTTGATTTATTCAGGTATTTTATTTTGTTACATACGTTCAGCTTTTTTTTTTTTTGGAGGGGTGGGTTCTTCACAAACAATGTCCTCAATTTATTGTTTTGCTATTATGTGAGTGGTCTATCGAGATCTCTTGAGTCAGTCTCTTCTGATCATTGAGTAAACTCATCTCTTTTATAGAATACAATAAAAAAAAACAAACAAAAAAAATCCATCTTGTATTTGTCCTCGATTAACCAGTCCAGTGTACAGCTTATACTTCAATACAGGAAAATAAAACGGCAATTGAGTTATTCTTCACTTAAATTGTAGTTTACACAAAAATTAAAATTGCACCTAAAGGCAGATGTTGCAGATTCATTGCAACAGATTAGATGCAGGTTTATTGTAACCTTAGTGTACTTTCTTTGACAGTAACTTTTTCCTTTAACACTAGAGAGAGCCAAAGTACAACTAGTGTCACACGTTTCATCTTTGTATAATTTGTGTTGGGAAAAAAAAATGTAATTTAAGTGCATAATATAAAACCATTGTCTTTGTTTTGCATTCAAGACAGATTGTTATTTATTCCGCCACATTTTCTATTAAGTATTTCAATCCACAATAAATTTTGCAGCTAATTATTACTAGAGTACTCGCAGGTGTTGTGATTGCACACCATGGAAAAAAAGGTTTTCCATTAATTTATTTTTCACACTGTAAGATGGTAATTTATCACATTTAATCAACGTATATCATAAAAGGACAGAAGACTATCAATAACATAAACGAGCTTTATTATCCAAAGGTATTGTTCCGTACATAAGCTTCTCGTTCAAATAACGTTTGTAGTCTTCAATATTATTACGTATTCCGTGTCCGCACACAACAAGAAAAGGAGGTAAAAGTTATTTTAACGTAATTTTGACGATATTTTTGGCGGATATGAGCATCGAAATGTGACGAAATAAGACATTTAAAATCACAAGTTAGCTTACTGTTGTTGCGTCGGGACGACCATCTGGAACGTGGAGTTCGTTTGAGGCGTTCAGGTGCCCTTTCAAACCTGAATATTCAAGCGTTATGAGACATTGAATGCAACACAGATGGAAAACTACTGTGCTAACGTTCCCTGGAGAAGAGCTTTTAACATGCAGTTAATTTCCACTTAAATGTTATGCTATCACAGAAATACGGGATGGAGCTTTACCTGGTCAGCTGTTGAAAATACAAGTACATAATCAAGAATACAGTGTACTCTTGCCACCCGGATGTTTACCGGAAGTGACGTTGCAGTAGTAAATTAGCTCTATTTATAGAGCACGTCAAAACAAGAAAAATGTCAATCTTTGGTCTCTGACCTTTTAGGGGTAGCTTCATCAGCAGGTGGATTTTTTTTCCTCTGTAAAGACATCGCTATAAATTACAATGCATGGTAAAACCCGCAATGTGCAAGATTTTATAGGTCAAACTAAAAAAAAATCTCCCCAAAAAATGCAGTAGAAAAAAAAATATCGACATTTTTAAACAGCATCAAAAATATATTTATGGTCTCATGTATATTAAGGATATGTCATGAAAATTTGCTGTTGACCAGTTTCATTTTTAAAGGTATTGACTTTTTTTTTTCTTCATCCATAAAGCAGAAGTTTCGTGTCATAAGACTGACATGATTCAGAAGATGGTGCAATCTCTCCTTTTTATTACATTTGACTATCACAAGAGCAGTTTGTGACAACTTATAAAATGAAACACTCCTAAAATTTGAAATCAAATACTGGAAGAAGAAAAGAGAGGGGGGGAAAAATCACACTATTTTTTTTTTATTAAGTTTCTAATAAGAACACTACAATTTGTCATTCTTCCTTTGTTTTTAACTCTTTCTTTCTAGAACAATTCTAAAGTTGAGGTATAAAAGGAGTTCAGACAGACGTGTGGGTCTGAAAACAGCGGTGGGTTTGGAGGCATTGGGGGGGTTATATATATACAACAAAGATGGAAAGACAGAGGTAGAGAGAGGGGTAAATACAAGGGAAAGAGCGGCGATACAAATATACTAAGAGAACATAAAAAAAGTATAATAATCAAAAGGGCTTTTTGGAGAGAGGGGGGGCATTTGATACTGTGGAGGCTTCCCCCCCCCATAACTTTCATGGAAGCTTCATGGGAACCATCATTTTCCACAGCAGCAAACGTCCCGAGCAGTCAACCCCACATTTCCATCCGGTCATGTAACAAAAAGCCTAAAGAATAACAATAATAATAAAAAATAAAGTTGATACAGAGTTATATAGTAAATCGTGTGTGTGTGTGTGTGTGAGGGGGGTCTTGTGGTGGAGATGTGTGTGTGTGTGTGTGTGTGTG